AATGGCCTTGGGCGCTGACCAATCATCGCTGCGTATGGCAGCAACCTGGTTTTGATTGGCTATCGAACGGAAAGATCTGCCTTCCTCTGGTGGCGAGCGAGCGACCGTCGAGAGTGGGGCGACAACTCATGCAATAAGATCTTGGATCATAGACTAGCTATCATTTAATACTTCCTCGTGCCTTCTTCGCCTAGTACGCACGCCGGTCTATGCGTGACCACGAAAATACGAGAAAGACCAGGTGGACACCAAGAGGCCAGGTCGATTCAAGCCACCATGCGTCTCGCACAGGAGGTTTGGTACTATATTGATTCCGTCCATTTCTTAGGCCATGGGCGCGCGGGTGAAGCTTGTATGAGTACTTCGCGGACTCGTCGCAAACCAGGCGCGATCGCCCACATCGATCGTGATGTCTTCGTCCACGTTGCCGCTGCCAAAGGCCCCGTAGAGTGCTTTTTCAAGAGCCGACTGCAGATGCACATCGCCCGTCGCCTCGTCGCGGAGGACGCTCGCCAGGATCACGTCAAAGTTGCGCTTGTAGTTCTTGAGCATATGGCGCGCAGGTTTGCGCCGCACGTCGACAATCTAAAGAGAATCAGAAACGATTACAAGTGCGCGCGTACGAGGTTCTTCTCGGCAAACGTCGGCCGAATGAGAAAGTCGCCGTTCATGCGGCCGTCGAGCACGACTTCGGTGCCGACGTGCTTGTAGAGCTTTTTGCGGCGGCTCCAGCACTCGGGCTGGAGACTCTGCGGCAGCCCGCAGATGATATCGCCTTCGTTCACGACGCGGAACGCCAGTGGCACCTAACCGTCACTATAGCGTCCGTCCATTTACAAGCCGTCAACCAACCGCACGGTTGAACGATTGTGCAAAGCGGTGGCACCCGACGCGCGGCGATCCGTAGTTGTACATGATGACGCGCGCGTGGAAATGCGTGCGCAAGTCGAGGGCCGCGATCGTCGCGAGGGCACCACCGAGCGAATGGCCTACCTCGAATCGAATCCATATCTTATACGATGCTTCATCCATACCGGTCGTATACACTTGGACGTGGTGCTCGGGCGCGAGGCCCTGGAGGCGATACTCGCTGCAGAGCGACCGCAGCGTCGCATGCACGCGGTCGCGGATCGAGTTGTACGCGTGGACAAATCCCCGGTGTACGTACCCCGGCTTGGCGCCGTCGTCGCCTACGCCATGTCCGGGTGAGCGACGATGATGCTAAAAAATCCATATCTACCAGGCCACGGGTGCGGGTCAAGTGCGATCTCGAGGTCGGTCTTGACGTTGGTCTTGGACGCGGTGCCCCGGAAGGCAAACACGATTTTGGCGTCGCCTTGCAGCACCAAGCAGTGCGTGTCGCTGCCAACATCATGCAGGTACGCGACCTCGTGCATGCCGTCGCGGGCCAACGCCTCTTGGTTGCAGTACGCGGACGGATGCAAATGCTCGAGCGGATTCTCGTCACCCGCTTCGTCCCGCAAGCTCAGCGTCGACTTGTAGTACGCGAGGCGCGACGCGTTAAAGAGCCGACATGCTGTCTCGAGACAGAAAATGTGGTGCGGCGTCGAGAGCGGTTTGCAGCGGAAGGCGTCCGCGCGGGGAAGCCCTCGCCCGCTGCTGCCTTTGCCGCTCTTGGTGAACATGCTGGCCGACGACGTCGCCGTCGTCGGTGTCGTCGGTGTCGGCGTCGTCGGTGACAGCTCCTGGGGCGTATGGATAAACTGCCGCTTCTCGCGGATGACGTAGCCGCGCGGGACGTCGCCCGTCGTCGACGCATAGCGCGTCGGCGGGTAGAATGCCACGACGGCAATGTACATGAGACCTGTGAACGTGCACTCGGTCATGACGCTTGTCTGGCGCACGAACGTCGGCTTGTACGCCGAGACGACGGCATACGCGCTGAAGAAGACGACGTTGATGAGCAAGAGCGCGAGCAGTGCGTACGCGATCATCGACATGAAGCGGAACGCGAGCGACTGGTACCGCGTCTCCGAGTACCGCTTCTTCTGGAGGTGCGCCGAGACGTTGAAGCAGACGCTGACGAGCAGCGCGACGCCAAAGACGCACAAGCCCGTGTCAGCAGTCGCGACGACGAGATCGATGTTGGTCGTCGCGCCAAAATGCGCCGACGTGAGGATGACGAGCGCGAGCCGCGCGCCGAGCACGAGCAGCACGAGGACGCTCTTGACGATGATGAAGCGCGCGCCGAGGAACGCGATCGCTGCGCCGTTTCTAAAGGACCGGGGGTTCGTCTTGCGGTAGCTGTCGATGATAGTGAGGAGCGCGCCAAGCGCTAGCGTGTACACGACCGTCTCCCAGACGCTGCGAAAGACAATGTACATGTTGGGGACGGCGCCGAGCCACGGCAGCGTCGCCAGCACCGAGATCGGGTTGGTCTGGACACCGAGGGCGACCAAGATGAGTGCAAACAGCTTGCGTTCCAAGCTCAAATGCATGACGAGCCAGTGCCCGAGCGATAGTTGCGCACCCGAAGGGTGCATGCGGTTGTGGTGGCGCCGAAGGCAGTAGAGATAGTGCCCGAGCAGCCCGAGCGTGCCAAAGCCCAGGATCGCTTTCGTCGCGAGGCCAGCGGTCTCGTAGCCATTGAGCATGGCCTCTAAATGCAGCTCGAACGACCCGAGGAGCGCCGTCTCGGCGATCGAGAGCGAGATGCGGTAGCGTTGTCGCCGCGCATCAAAGAGAGACGCGCCGTACTTTTTCATGAAAACGCCCACCAATGGAATGTCGGCGCAGTGCTCGGCGTCGCAGGTCGTGAGAAGCTCGTTGCTGTAGTCGGTGACAAGGTCGTCGGTGGCCGTGACGCTCAACGTGTAGCGCCCGAGACGGTGGACGCCGGCACCGAGGCGTCGTGCGGTCGCGTTGGCGAGCCGCACGCTGAGCCGGAATACGTCCGGTGTCTTGGGCAGTGACGGGTGGTAGACTTCAATGACGTGCGACCCGACGGTGGGCGACTGCCACGTGGCGTCCGGACATGGCGTCTTGTCGAGCGACGAGCAGAGCGCACTGTTGTTGGTATCGTTTCGCGCGAGCTGGACGCTAAACGGGATGAAATGCGCCTGTGCGAGCACGATAATGATGTTGATCAAGACCAAGAGACCCGCGAGGCAGAGCAAGAGCCGGAGAACGTCTACACCACGTCGACCATATAAGCACGTGGTTGATCGGACACGAGGAAGGCATGTACGCTTGGGCATCGTTTCGAGGTAGATCTGCGGATGGACATTGATGACGACTGCGCGGTGGGTTCGTGCTTGCAGCGTCAGCTACGCAGGATTCCTTGCATGAGCTATTTGCTCTCGTGCAAGAGCGATGACAACCTGCGTCACGTCAATGTAGCTCTCGATCGAGTTGGCGACTTTGCCTCGCGGCGGCAGCGGCGTACCAGGCGAAAGCCCGATGGACGACCGACGAGCAGGGCTCGGTTCGTCGCCCGTCGCATAGTCGACATCCGTCTCGGCGGCCGTTTGCGGGGGCACGGTGAAGAGGCCCATTTGGGCTTGGGCGCGGATGAGGGCCGCGACTGCGCTGCCGCCGGCGTTGTACACATGCGCACCGGCGTTGCGGACGTTCTCGAGGAGGTCGTGCGCGTGCGTCGTGTGCAAAAGGACGCGCTCGAGGAGGTGCTCGTGCTGGATCTGGTCCACGAGTTGGTTGTCGGCGTCGTCGACGTCGTGGTGGTCCGTGTCGAGCGTCTCGTTGGCCGACTTGAACGACTGGACATGATAAATAAAGACGAGGACGGGGCAGCCAAAGATGAGGCACGTGCCCGCGATGTTGAGGAGCTGTCCAAGCACTACGCGTCGTATCGGCATGAGCACCACAAGAGTAAGACGATGCGTACGCGAGAGGCGGCAACGGCCCAAGCAGAGCGACGTTATGCCAGGCATGCATTGGTACGAGTCGTCGCACTGGGCCACGTAGGCCATGCAGTGGCACTGGTTCACGCTGCAGCCGGGCTCGGCGCTGTCCGTGAGCAAGCTTCCGCCGCACACGGATGGCGACCACGGCTAGCCAGGATGCGCAGTAAGATGCGGTGCCATGGCGTGTAGCCGACTATTACCACAGTCGACGCGGCGACGACGGCGACCGCCAGGAGCAGCAGCAGCAGGCGCATCGTTTGTGACATGGGCGTGAGTTGGACAAGCCAGCACAAGAACCAAGATTGATGACCGCGAAATGGCCAATCAAATGCCGAGAATTCGAGTTTCAATGCGACCTGCGATGTTGTATGGGGTTGGGTGGCTTTTTATTTTATGACTCTGGAAATAGTGTTCGAAATGGGAAAACCCCTGCGTAGTCGAGGCATGGCCGCCGACCAGCGTCGGGCCTTGTATCGTACTCTATTACTCTATAGGCGCAGAGGACAAGTCAGTGAATGATGCGTCGGCCTTCCAATCGCGCGACTGTGCCGTTGCGAGAGTTTATCATACACTATTTAACGATGTATCCGGATACGGGATGGCGCCTGTCCGGTCGGAAACGTGGAAGGCAGCGATGAGCGCAAGTCAGGACTCGGGCGCCGGTCGGGCCGTGCGCTTCGCCTTCACGGAAGAGATCATCAATCCCGAGGGCGCAGAAGGCAGGCCCCATCAAGATGAGGAGGAGAACCAGGCGCCGCCCTCGGATAACGCGCCGCCAGAGTCTGGGTACGTCTGGTGCCTGCGGTCGATGATTGCTCATGACCAAGGCACAGGAACGGCCTGCTTGGCCTTAAGGTGCGCAACTTTGGCCCGTTCGTCATTGCGCAAAAGTACGAGCTCATGGACGGCACGGGCAGCGCCGTATGGCAGGCGGCCGAGGCCATGCTGCAAATCATGACGATGCCGCAGTACCAAGGAATGCTACACAGCCGCAAGGTGCGCATGAGTCTCTGCCGACAGCATGCGTCACAGCAATGCGACGTTTGGATAGGTGCTCGAGCTGGGCGCGGGCACGGGGGTCAACGCGCTGGCGGCGGCCATGTGGAGTGGCCACGTCGTCGCAACGGACGGCGACCTCGACTCGGTCTCACTCATCGAAGAAAACGTCAAGCAGAACCAGCTCCACCTGCCACGGTCACACGACGCGTGGTAATGCTAGTATAAACTCAAGCCATGCGTAGGCCCATCACGGTGCGGCATCTCGAGTGGGGCAACCAGGCGCAGATCAAGGGGCTCAAGCACGAGTTTGGGCTCTTCGACGTCATCCTTGGCAGCGACGTGCTCTTCAACGCGATTGAGGGTCCTCTCCTCGTCACAATCTACGAGCTCTGTGGCGTGCATGGCATTGTGATCCTCACGCACACGCCGCGCGAGACGGCCCGGGAAAACGCCATCCTGCAGAGCTTCACGCGCTACTTCAACATGACGCAGGTAGCATCCACAATGGCTCCTGTCGATAGCTTATATGTACTACCTAGTCGATGGTCACGGGTACAAGCGTCATTTGTACCATCTTATCGCGCAAGGTCACGACCTACTATTGACGCTGCGAATCTCGTCGTCGTTTATTTGTTGTGATGGCGGAAATTCGGGTTGACATAGTGCGAAGAGCAAGCGACTCTGGCGTGGTAGCGCTGCATGCTAGCCTTATCACTCTCCCGCCACGTCGAGCGGTGTCTCTCGAGTCGCTTTCGGCACCTGGTGGCGTGTGTGTACGGCCAATTGGGTTGAGATGTGATTTGTTTGATTGAACCACCCTATTTGCTTGACAAGCTAGCGTGAGCACAGGATCGTGGAAATGACGCGGCATTCAGTACGCCATGGAAAGGAAAGCGGTAACGATGCACTACGATCTACTGCAGCCGGTCATCTAATGACGAGCGAGCACATCAACCAAGTGACAGACTTTTCTATGCCTTGTTGGTCGAGAGCACGAAACCGGCTGCGGCTTAGCGATCCCCTTGCGCCATTTCCCGTCGAACGAGCGCGCCACCGACGCGTTGATGCGACCAAGACACGCTTTCTGTGACTCGGTTGTGGCCCCATGTACACTTGCCACGTGGGCCACTGGTGCGGAGCGGAACTATATCTTTCATGATCAAACCTAAGAAAGGCGTCGACAGTATCTCTATCTATGAGTCACTGCGAGCCACTCCGTCAGGAAACTTGTGGGGCTGTACCCCCTACTCTCTGGAAACGTCAGTAAATCCAGGACGCGACGACTAACTCACATATTCTGCGCCGTCGACAGGCACACAAGTAAGCGAGATGAACGCACCCGCCAAGAACCTCTCCGTCCGCAACGAGTCGCAATGGATGAGTGCCATAACACCGAATGAATCGAGCCTCTTGGACGCCTCTTTCCTCGCTGTCATTGACGGCGCCGTCCGGATTCAGACCACGCTGCCAGCCTCGATGCTGGAGCACGCATTCGCGGGCGACAACCACACAAGCTGCGATCGTTCTAGCAAAAGATATCGATTTTTCGGTCAATCCGACAGTGTCAATCTAGGGCGGTTCTTCACTTTGCTCGAGAGGCATGATGTTCGTAGCTAGGACATCAACCCACTAGCTCATAGCGATACGTAGATATGAGCAGTGAAGTCCCTAACTACGTATATAAACCTGGTTTTATGTACCCTCATGTCGACCCACAAACGAGCACAAAATAAATGTGACGCGTCCAATGGCGCCAACGCCCCGTAGCACGTTCACGGCACGTTCGGCAGAGCCGCCACCGGCCCCAACGGATCGCACCCTTGAAAGATCGCCAACGACCAATCGGGTCGCGCGGCCGCCAAGCTCCCGTCCAAATCATTTGCGATCCGCCATGTCGGTTCCGCTGCCAACATCTCCGCACGACGGCTGCCCGACGCTTACGGCGAGCCGCGTCGCGCTCACGAAACTGCACCGATCTCGTCTCGGCTCGACGACGGACCGGACCAGCTCGATTCGGTGGCCCACCGACCTCCACGCAGGCACGAGCCCGAGCTTTGACCGGCGCCGCCCGTCCGACGCAGTCGTGTCGCCCTTCTTGAGCGCCGCGCGCTGTGGCAGCGCAGTCGATGTCGCCAAGTACCTCGAAATCCAAAAAGCCGACGAGTGGAGCGTGGTCGATCCGACGACGCAGCAAAACGCGCTGCATGTCGCGGTCGCGCACGGCCATCTGCACATCGCCAAACGTCTTTGCAGCCACCCGTTTGGCCCGCGGTGGCTTGCATCGACCGACGTGTATCTCAACACGCCGCTGCACGTGGCCGCTAGCACCTCGCGCCGCTTGACGCAGCTGCTGCTCGATGCCGGCGCAGGCGTCAACGCGCTCAACCAAGCGTGCGAGACGCCGCTGAGCATGCACATTGCGAGCACGGCCAAGGACGACCCGGGCCTCGCCGAGCGCTTGCTCACGCACGGCGCCGACGCCAACGCCGTCCTCCGCGGCGAGTCGCTTCTACATGCGGCCGTCGACCGTGGCCTGCTCAACATCGCGTGCCGCCTCGTGCGCTTTGGCGGCCGCCTCGACACGAGAGACGGCCACGGCCGCATGGTGTTCGACAAGGTCAACGCCAAAGCTAGTCGCAAGCTCTTCGCGTACATTCCGTCGCCCTTGCCGTGGGTGCCCGACGACGCCCGCGACCACTGCATGGAGTGCAGTCGCCGCTTCAGTCCATTGCTCGCGCGCCGCCACCACTGTCGCCACTGCGGCCGGCTGTGCTGCGCCGCTTGTACAAGTGCGTTTGTGCTCATTGAAGGCTCGCCGCTCCAGCACAAGCCCCAGCGTGTGTGCGATCCGTGTCTTGGCGTCCTCAAAGGCTACTACGAGGCCGACGACGAGGCCAATGTCGTCCGCACGACGCGCGCCAGCCTCGTGTACAACCAGCTCGTCGACCGCTCGTCGTCGTCGTTGGCTGCTGCGCGGTGAGACGCTTCTCCTCTGTACAGTCATAACACAAGCTCTGTATGAATGCGTCGAACTTGCTCCTATCGATTGCCCTGCCCAACGTACTAGTAGTCTGTACAGCGCAACCGTGGTCAAGGCACCTTTGTGGGGTAGAAAGTCGACATGCATTTTACAGAGCGTTAGCCAAAGCCGCCAAACGTGATTTGCGTCATGGCGACCGTCGGCTTGTTTTGAGGCCTTCGAGGCGCTCGCGGTATGCCATCCCGTACTGGACACTGTCGCGGCGAGGCGGCGGCCCGGCGTTTTGCGACATGGGGCGCACGGGCACGGCCACGTCCAAGTGCTTGCTCGAGTGACCCATCATGAGGCGCGCGGCGGCGGCACCTGGGCCGGGCCCGGCATCGCGAGTGGCTTCTTTTCCTTGAGTTCGAGATGGTGCAGCTTGTCCGTGCCAGTGTAGCCAAAGCAGTCGCGTCCGAGCTCCTTCTTGCTTCCGCCTTTGAGGATCGGCGGGAGCTTGGTGCTTTCGTCGCCCTTGCGGTGGAGTGGTGCCGTAAGGCGCAGCAGTTGGTCTTGGATGTTGCTCTGGCACGCTTCGAGCATTTTCTTGTAAATGGCGTTTTTCGCGGTCGCAATCGGCGGCGGGTACAAGCGGACAAAGTCGACGAGCTCTTCGCCGTCCCACTGGGGGGCATAGTCGAAGACGCCTTTCGTGTACTTGGCCTGCAAGCTCTTGTGGAGCTCGTCTTGGTTGTGTTCGAACTTTTGCACGATGAGCGGGACGTCCTTGCACTTTTCCGGGTTCATGTCCGAGTAGAACGCGAGAAGGGCCTTTGTGAGATCGTCGCGCGACATGGGCGGCGAGGACGCGGCTGGCATCGTGGTTGTCTCGGGCCCATCGCCGTCTTGATTGTTGTCGACGTCGGGCGCTCTCTCACCGCCGTAGAGGCGCTGCTGGAGGTGTTTGGCCTGCGTGCTCTCGTAGTTGGCCTTGTCGTCACCCGAGATTTGCATGATATCGAGCGTTTGGTTGAGAAGCCGCTCCTTGATGTTCCAGTCGAGGGGCGAGTCGCAATGGAAGCTCGGCAAATGGTTGACCTCGAGGAGCCACGGCTTGAGGTGGTCGTCGACAAGCACGTCCATGCCAAGGACGGCAAAGCTTGAGGACGCGACGTTGGGGTGGTCGTCGGGCCGCTTGGGGAATTTTGCAAACGTGCTATGGTACTCGTGTGCGATCGTCGGCTGGACCGCAAGGATCGACTTGAGGCAAATGTCACCGATGCCTTCCCAGAGCGCATCCACTGCGGCTGCGGCGTGCGTCTCGCCGAGCCACGAGAGGAACCAGCGCAGCGACCGCTTGCTGCCTTGGCCATCGACAGCCTCGTCTTTGTTTTTCTCAAAGTTGTTGGAGCGTTTATTGATTGCATAGTTGGTGAGGTGCATGAACTTCTGCTCCATATTGGCCGCGTTCGGCGCCGTGTAGTCGGCCGTGCACATGCGGACGAGGCCGTCCTGGAAGAGGTACACCCGCAGCGGCGAGATCGACGAGATGAGCACGTAGATGCGCAGGTCAAACTTCTTGCCGCCAATGAGCAAGGGCGACGGCAAGTAGCGCTGCGCCACAAAGATGTCGGTCTTGCTCACGTCCTTGAGTTGTTTGGTGAGGAAGACGCCACGGCCTTGGCATGAGTGGTCGGGCTTGATGATGAACGCGCGCGACGACGTCCCGTCCGCGTTGAATTGCTGCGAGAATTCCGTGTAATCGAACGGCAAGATCCACGTCTTGGGGCAAAAGTCGTACTGGGCTGGAAAGAGTTTGGTCATGCGCTGGAAGTTGCGGGCGAGCTTCGACTTGCGCGCCAAGTTGGACATGCCAGGGAAATGGTTGACCTTCTGGAACGGTTGCATGTGCTTGAACGTATTGAGGAAGTCGGGCACGTCGATCCAGTGGAGGTTGCAGCTCGCAATCCCTGCCTTGTCGTCTTCGTCCGACACCATCTTCCACCCCCGGTCCTTTGCGATCTTCTTGATGACCTCGTACTTGGCCAGCGTCATGTTGATCTTGATCTTGCGCGGCTTCTTGGCCCGCTTCTCGGCCATCTTGGCGCTGATCGACTTGGTGGAGTGGCCTAAATTTAGGCGACGAATGCATAGCGTTTCATAGTAGCTCGCAGTTGTCGCAGCAGTTGCGGGATCGAGACAAGATGGAGACGCGTGAGATGGCGAGGACAGTACACCACAGGTCGAACAGGGTCAATGGGTTCTTGATCGTCGTCCTGCGAGGCTTGCACGCAAGGGCCAAAGTACCGAGATGCAAGCTGCAAGAAGGCGAGCAAGGAATGGATAATGCTGTCAAATGCTTCTGCCAGGAGTCGTTGATGCAGCGATATCTCGCTGCCGAGAGTTTCGGTATTAGCCCAGGACGAGCGACACTGAGGGTAGAGTCCGTCTAGCCATAAATTCCACAGATTCAAAGCAAAGGCGAGCGCGACCTGGTGAAAGGCTACAGGACCAGAGACTGCCAAGCGACCGGGTGTTTGAGCAGAGAAACCGGCGGCAGAAAAGGAATCGTCTGCATTGTCGTCGCTCGAGTCTTGAGCGCTGGTTGCTCGCCCGTATACCGTCCGAGCCATTTAGGTCACTGCGTAATATCCTGCTAACTTTAAACTGGTATTTGCTGTAGCATAGCCATGCTTTCCGATGGCATTTACGACAGTTGAGGAACCTCGTCAGGTGCTTGATGGACCTCTTCCTCCACCCCTAGTACTGGTACGCAGCTTGGTGGGTCGACGGTGTTTCCACTTGGGACTTTGCCGAATGTCGTTGCGCGAAATTCGGCATTTTGGCGGCGCCGGACTGGTGCGCAATACATTGGGTGGCGCGTAGAATTCGGCAAAGTCCGAATTGGATGGCGTATAAATAAATTGCGGTAAACCACACAACCCAATTTGTCTCTCCTTTGTATGCAAGGAGGCGATCGCCGCTGAGCTCGGTCCGTTCTCGTCGCAGTTGATCCAAGCAGTACCTCAGCAGACCATGGCATCTCCCGCCGAGCCCATCAAGTCCTTGTCCGACAGCGGCAGCAACAGCTCGTCCGACGGCAGCGACAGCGACAGCTCGTCGTCCAGCGGCTCGTCGTCGTCGTCCGAGTCGGAGGCCGAGGACAACGCATCGGAGGCCGCGCCATCGGCCGCGCGCGCCGTACCTGACGCCAAGCCCGTCATGAGCACGTCGCCGGAAGCCGCTATGCCCAACCGGAAC